TATTTAGAATTGGCCTTGGTTACATATGGGAAACAGAAATAAATGATGATATGTGTTATAATGTTATTAGAGAAAGACTTATTGATATATATAGACAAGAATGCAAAGAAAACGTAAGAACATCTTCAAAGGGATATATCTATACATATCTTTATAACCAGTTTGATTTACAGTGTTACTTAAGAAAACCATTATCTAGAGAATATTTGAAAGAGATTACAAAAATTAGGTTATCTGCTCATAATCTAAATATAGAAAAAGGTAGATATCAAAATATTGAGCGTAGTCTTAGAGTGTGTACTGTATGTAATTTAAATGACGTTGAAGATGAGTTTCATTTTATGTTGAAATGTCCATGTTATTCGGATTTGCGTGTTAAATTTTTGAAAAAGTACTATGTAAAAAAACCAAGTATGTTTAAAATGATGAATCTATTTAATGTAAATAACACAAAAGAACTTGTCAATTTGGCCAAATATATAAAAGCGGCAAATGTAAGAAGAAACAAAATAACTTAATTTGTTACACTCTCCATAATGTTTGTACATATGATATAATATATGACGATGTCGCATGCCTACGGAGACATCGCCTAAAGCAAGACTAGGGAGCAGAGAAAAGATAAAACAGATGACGTCCCAAATGCTAAAACGGTGGCAGCAAATGGATTTTGTTTACTTCAATGTCCCAAACCAGAAGCCATCAATTATATAGGGCCCGAAATTGGTCGCCAATTGTTCTAACACACAAAGGGACACAGCAGGGTAGCATTTCCCCTGACCCGCACAGCTGGTGCCATGGCATAGCCCGAGAGCGGATATATTAGCGCGAGGTGATTTCTCCATTGACTTACTGACCATCCATCAAGTGTTGTTTAAAACAAAAACATAATAGTGTTATATTGGGTAGAGATAATGGATACATGACTTACGTCTAGTTGTTTTCACGCGCCTCAGATCATTGAAAACACTCAAACAATAAACTAAGCGTAACTTTATATTTGCATGTGTATTCAGATAATTACACCAAACTCAAAAAAATAATTTGGCAACTTTTACTACAGAAGGAAATACATATTCAATATTGCTGTCAGCACACAATTATTGCGACAGGCACGTGCATGAGAGATCTGAACGATTACGTCAACAATGTCGTTCTGATATTCTGATATAACTGTGAACATGAGGAAACTATGCCGGTCTCAGTATCGTTTAACGATACTTAACGGCAATCGGCATAGTTTCATCATGTTCACAGTTGTGCCCTATTTAGCACGGTATCAATGACAGATTAAGCACTGTTTAGGGAAAAAGTAGACTATAACACCGAAGATGAAAATCTGCATTTGACGCAACAATCAACACCTAATTGATCATTCTCCACAGCAATACGTCATTGTACCGTTACACCCATTGGTGTAGAGGCCGTCAAGCTTAACGTTATTTACATGAACTCGTGCAAACATGAGTATTTAGCATATTATACTAACCCGAGTTCGTTTGGCCCGAAACCAGACTTATCATAATGTCAAAAGTCGGGTGTACTGTTGAGGCAGGAGATTCTAACGCTGAGGGTTACGCTCTTGCAGTTTTTATCCATATAAAAGGGTATTCAAATGTGTATACGCCGATACATACATCTGTCTTCAAACCCTTACTTACGTTTTCTATAATACATGTCCTATTAGAATAATTTCTTCGAAACGGCTGTACATCTACGTTTTTGTTCTAACTATTCACTTAGACCTAATTATATTCAAAAATTAAACATATCGGAGTATGGAATGTCCTTCGTAAGTTCGTGAAAATACATAAGTATGATTTTTATTTTATATCTGGACAAATAACAGGTTTTTAATACAAAGTGCAGTGTGCTCGTTCCATACGTTATTAGCTGGGTTAACACATACAACTTCCCAAATGTCCAATCCAAATTCAGTACTTTTTTTTAACTCATGAAACCCTTTAAATATCTATACTTTTAAGTACAGGTATCCATTGACAGGTCTATACAGGCCTGTCAGTCCTTTTTTATAACTGAATACCCTTATCTTATATGAAATTATTATGCTACCTTTGTTACCACCCACTGCACCTGTAAATATTTTTCACTAGTTACTGATAAACAAGTCTTCTTCAATACCTCCTAATGCAACCGGAAGTGAAGTGGACAGAATTAAGAAGCACCTCAACTTACAACGGTGTCACAATAAATGAACCAATGTACTTTCAACTGCGAACAAAATCTTCCTCACGGAGTAATCAATGGATATCGTACTGCTGTAGCCTAATGTACGAATAATAATTACAACCTGCTTTTGTATTTAACAGAATAGGAGTCACCTATTTATAGCGGCCATACCACTGACCAGTCACGGATTGTTTAATGAAGGAACGATGACCTTTGGCCATTAATCAATTCTAGTTAAGCATCTGGATATAGACACACCACATTAGAAATCCAAGGGTTCCGCTCAGGAAGATATACATACATATATCTACGGACAGCCGAACACTTGGATTAGACAAGATACAAGAGGCTTTATTTAGAGTCGCATACCAACATGGAACATTAGCCCTTGAGAGCTATGCTTGCGTAGACGACGACAATAACCGGGGTGAACAGGCGAATCTTCATCAGAACACAACAAACTAACGAAGCATTAATTGCATGTCTAAATTATATCAGCCACGCCCCGACTATTTTAAAGTTCGATTCTTTTGACTCGGGTGACTAAAAGTGTCTTTGCTGCTTGCATGAAATTGTTTTTAAAAATAAATCGTGATCTGATCATGCTATGCGACGCTTGCATGGAAACTGTATATAACTATAACCTATACAGTTTGGATAGATCTGATAGTATATAACTGTATAAACGGGTTACGTAGTTAATGCCTATTAACTATGTAACTCCTATTTAACTAACAGGAGTGTAGAGATGGGAACCACTTAATGAATGATTATCGATTTATCGCTGGAGAAATCAGTAATATATTATAACCCACCAATTGTCGATTGATAATTGGTAACGTGATTACCTTGTAAACTCAAAATTATACGCAGTTTAGTGTATGAAATCATACTTTCTATTTTATTATCATTGTGACCTAGTATATACATGTATATTTTAACGTTTTTATTGAGGAAAGAAGTTGTTTCAGTTGTATTTGTTACTCAGTTAAAGTTTCATAGAAATTTGTATTTTGGAAGACGCTTCAATACCCAACATGAATAAGGTGTGAAAACCTTTGGTATTATTCTTATTAAAAAAGAACCAGTCTGCATGGAATAGGAACACAATTTACGATAAAATGGAGAAATAAATTGTGTCCGTTTGTACAATAAATTTTAAGATGAAATACAGAAAAGAACTCATTCTTCCTTTCATACTGTAATCGCGATCGACACACAATAGTTTGATGAGTCGTACTATTGTTAACATGTTTAGAAATAATAAAGGAAGTTCAAAACCACAAAATGCCTACTATATGCGGCCATTGTAGTACCGAAAGACTACGGAACTGAACTATATATGCCTCTCCTCCAAGTTATCATTGTAGAATCATCATTTCCTAATGATTTTATATAAAAATTAACAACTTAACGTTGTAAATTTTATAAATGTATTAATAAATATGTAAATTAATAATAAACCAAATGAAGTTAACAAAACGTTTGAAGGAACTCCGCCGGACTACGTAATCATTTATTCAAAAGGGCGGGAAACACTGCGCGACATTCAGTTACGTTTGAGGCACGATGCTTAACATCATTTGAAATTTAAATAGGATATAATTAAAAAAAAATTGTCATGACAATGATATTATTAATACAAATCCAGGACGTGTTATACAACCTGAAATTGATTAGTCCGTTGAAAATTCTATCCGAAAAAAAAACATGGCCTTGTCACCGACATCGTATTTGCTAGTAAATCTTCAGTGATACATCATTATATAAGACATTTGATTTTAATTTATTTCCATATTAACCATTTATTATACTAAAATTGTGATGAACCATTTGTTCTCAACCTGTATTAATGAAATCCGATTACTTTTTTCATGTAGATGTCTAATACATAACGGATAGTTAGACAGAACATAGCCTGTATAGGCTGTCGGGCATACAATGCAAGTCTATACTGATAAATATATATAAAGTCATGGTCGTTTTGTAATGTGAACTTGTAATATCATCAAAGAAAACATATTAATTAAGCCAACAAAAACACAACAAACCTTAGGAAGAGAATGTTTTGCCTTGAATTACAGTAATTTCACATTAGACGGAAGACATTCCAAAGGTCCACTCCTGCACGTATACAATATATCAGTCACCACTCAAAAACAATATTTTACCGTTTACATTGTGCCTAAACACCAACGAAATTCTTTTTGTGAATTTATCTTAAAACTTTATCAAAACGATGTCTGTACTTGCATTATGAGGATGCATTGCCAATACGTACAAACACATACAAAACGCCGAATCTTCTATTTTCGCGGTGTAGTATCCACTGTTCCCTACCAAGCCTCTATATGCGATCTAAGTTTTTAATACTATTTTTTAAATAAGCATGGTATATTACTATTTTTACCATGAAAACTTTCTATTGTAGGTACGTGAACTTTTCCACGAAAAATATTTAAAATCAATGTCCTATAAGATATAAAATTCTTCAAATTACGATCGTCCTTTCATCTGAAAAGAGCATCTGTAAGGTAAACCACGTGGGGTACACTGAAAAAAGACGCAATAACAGCTATTTCTAATTACGAAAAGTAGGTAAATCGTATATAAAAAGTTAACACATTTATTGAAGAACAATATCCAATATCTCAACATGTCAAAAATATGTGAATTAAATATATGAAATTGAAAACTCGTTGTTATTTCTCAGAGCCTTTATATGCGAGTACTACAAAATGGCTGCTCCCATTGACAAGTACTTGCTACGTTTACGATGTCAATAATTTTATAACAATAACAGAACATACCAATTTTCTTCCAGCTTCGTTGCTGTCTGCCATAGTTGGGACTGCAGTTAATTTTCATATCAGGTAACGATCCATTTTTTAAGTCTGGACAATGAAATATTTATTCCTCCAAGCGATAACTTTGTGTATGTGACGTCACAAATTCGCCCCAAATAAAACAAAATATCACGTGACATATACTTTTGGTCAATACATCTTTCAAAATATATGAAAACGACTAAATATTTGTTCCTTTTTTATCTAGAGAAACCATTATTTATAAGATTTTAAATCAAACATATCATGAATTTTGCATCTAAATATAAATTTGAATAAGAGCCTACGTATGAAAGAATGTTTATATCGTATGTGGAACGTTTCGTTTCGTTTCCGTACAAACGTGCTGAATTTGCAGTTAACCATGTAAACTAAAATCTTGTCGGCTTGTTATGACCGTGTCTCGTCCTCGCAGAACATAGTTTCAAAGAAGCTTTTGTCTGTATAACATATTTCATTATACAGCGAGAGATAAAAGCGGATATCCCAAGCACATTCAAAGGTGCAGGATAGCATCCTTACTGGTTTCCTAGCCGTGTAAAAGGCAGCAAACCAAAGCGGAAGTTCCGATTGTATGTCAACTTCCACTGTTTCCTGATCAGTGTCAATCCGATCAGGGCACATGCACGATACAAATACAGCGACTAACGGTGCGTATGCATATGAAGATTGGGTACTACACGCGTATTACAGTAAACAGATGGACGTGCAACATTCGAGGAATGCCATATCTTGGAGAAAACTGTTTCTTAGCCGTGCAAAGTTGAAAGCAACCGGCAACACGTCAGCATTGTTGTCGGGTTTTGCAATGGTAAATAATTATATAACTATTTTGGTGTGATACGATTATCATCACCCCATGTACTCGTGGAAATTTTGACCTGTAACTGATGTAGCTGTCTTTCAGCTTTGGGCCTTATCGGTAGAGCACTAGCCTAGAATTGTCCAGTTACTGTCAAAAATTAATAATAATATTATAGTAATACCAAATTTTAAGCATATATAGTTGTTTTTTTTGTTATTCCCTTTTTTATAATTTTTTGACAGAACTTAAGGCTCCTGTGGTTAGTTCGAAATAACTGACCATCTACTTTTAAATATTTGTTGAATGACTCACTGAGGTATACCGTCCCCTTAAATAAAGGATAAAGACAGTTATTTTGTACTATAGGCTTTTAATGTAAGCTAAGCACAATTCTCTTGTTATGGTTGCGAGTGACTACATGTACATGGTTTTTCACTGACATATTTTATTACCTGTCATTGGAAACATCGAGTCATTGGAAACGTCTTGTCATCAAGCTTGAGTCTTCTGAAGCTATCAATTTAAAAAAAAATTGTCTTGACGTTTCAGCTCTAAGACCTAAACAAGGACAGTTTTGTACTTTATCTGACAGAGACATTTCAGTTGTTAATTTATAATGAAAATTAATTCAGTACATAATAAGTCCCAAAATAACCGAAACATTATATATTACGGATCGCTGGCAGTACAACTCAATGGAAGGAATGAAACAAAAATGTTGTGTATACTGTGATTCAGTGAATAGAACCCTTCTCAAATACAATTGACAGATAAACAGAAAATGTCACATAATATAAAACACATCGCACACACTATCTAGATGGATTGAAAGACTATACATAACAGTAGAATTTTAGGGTGTTTTTTTCCCTGTTGACATCTTTACCGAAGTGCCAAAACTTCTGATAAATTTCTAATAAAAATAATATAATATTGTTACATGAAATCTGGCAATGATATATGGATTACTAGTCAAGCAGTGTACTGTTTGAGCTAAAGAAAAGTATTCTTTGGTTGAGGTTATGTTTCCAATTGTGACATACCTATGCCTCTTGTAAACAGTAATTTTGTCAAAAATATTTTCAACTCTTTTGAAGTCATAAACTGGAAGCTAGAGAGCACATTTAATCTAGATTATTAATAGAATGTATGTTTTGCTTCTCTATTACTTGCATTTGCCTTGGTGTTGGGCTTCCATCCACGCAAGGAAGATGTTGATTGTGTCGGGATCCCCTGATTGAAACAACCCTTAATTCCTTATACAAAGTCGTTACAATGGCACTAATAGTGTGCAGACTAACTTGGACTGGTACTGCACCCACAGCAGGACAGCTACCAGTGGTTTTAACCTGTAGTCTGCCCTCACTAGGGGTTGTCTTGATCTACCAGTACTACAATTGATAGTATAACATTTAGTAATGAATCTGATTCAATCCTTAAATCCTAAACTAAATTAACCCATGATTTAACAGTAAAGTACCAGAATTCAAAGTACATGTACAAATAAGAGGTCAGCCTTTTCAGGTGTATCATGAAAGAAAACAGTAAGATTTCAGGAACAGCAAGCAGTTAAGATGCTAGAAGATGACAGTGTAATATTAATAAAATAACATTATATATAAAACAAAACGACAGGCGTTGAACAAATTCAGACTAAAAAGGCTAGAATATCAAATTAAAAGCTAGCTGTGAAAGGCATTGAACATTGAAGTAGTAAAACATGAATGGAACAGAAATCTAAAAAAAGTTGAAAGCAAAAAGATTGAAGATACACATATAATTTAACCCTTTCACCACTGTAGACCATAATGGACTTATCCATATCAATGCATGGTAGAGTCTATTAAAGTTACATAGGAGTGAGAGGGTTAAGGCATTTAAGAGTATCACCAGGTCTTGACTATATTACTACCATTGCCACTGCTGTAAAATCATTTTTTATGTCTTCAAAAAAAGTTTTCCATAAAAATCACATGTGCATTTTACACAAATACAGTTGATTAGAAAAAAACATCTGCCAGGGTTGAACTCGGGTCCTTTACATTGTAAAACCTACACTTTACCAATGTTTTCATCTAGGAATTGTAAATGACCAGCGTCAAAGTGAATGTTCAAATTAAGGGCCTATGAAACTTGTCAGGGGAAGTTACTCTAAGCTAGAAAAACTACATCTTCTATCTAGAGGTGAGATTATTCAAATTAAAAAAAAAAAAATTATAAGTGTAACTCTTCTTCATGATGCTAACTGATGCAGTGGTACATATACCCTTTATCTTAACCCTTTTTGTTTCTAGAAAAAATGATTAATGAACAGAATTGTCCAAGCCATATCTGGTACTGTGGTAAAAAATATGTAAATGTAACTTGTTTGTTGCCTGAGGATCTGCTAATAATATATTGAATGTATACTTATGTTTTAGGTTGCGTTGGTGGAGATTGGGATAGAGCCAGATGTACCTAGTTGGTTGATGGTGGTATTCTGTGTAAACACAACATTACTTGTGTCTATACATCTACTGGCGGTCATGATCAGTACCTGCATTCTCCCCCACATAGAGGCAGTCAGCAATGTACACAATGTCAACTCGGTCCACGAATCTCCACACGAGCGCATGCAGGTCTTCATTCAGATGGCCTGGACATTTTCGACAGGTTTTGGAATCCTGTTGTTTCTGAACGAGATAGTTCTCATCTGTTGGATCAAGTTTAACGTAAAGACAGTAAACAATAACATCACAGCAGCCTGGGCAGCCACTGCAGTTGTCATTCCTGTAGGGATCTTATTCCTAGTGTTTGCCTTTCATTTCTATAGGAGACTCATTGCTCACAAGTTCCAACAAACAAACATGGGATTACAAGATCTGGATAAAATGGTTACAGAACTCGGCAATCAGGAGAACGATTTTAATGATATAGAAAATGTGTAAAGTTCAAACATTTGAGATTATCACTGCAGAAAATCTGTTTCTTCTAAGTCATTAATATTGATGTTGATCATCAGTTATATTGTACTTAATCAATATATTTATTTATTACATTTTTTGCCAATGAAATATCGGATTCTATCAACTTGATAAAACTGATATCTTTCACACTGTGACAAATATCAAAAGTGATATTTTCACAGTGTAAAAATATCACTTTTTGATATTGACCAATCATAACAGTATCTTCTGTTCGCAGCATTCGATTTCAAAGGCAACAATTTTTTGTTCAGATCCAAATAAAGCGACAGTAGGATAAGTGGTTGTTTCGGTAAATGTTTGGTACACACACTTAAGTATTTACATAAATAAACAATTGATAACATTTTTATAAGCATTTATACGAGAAAACAGCAGAAAACGTCAGATTTGCGTTGAGTATCCCATTCAAAATGGCACGCAGCCTTGTCAAGTTTAACGTCATTAGGATATGGCGCTAATTAATACACTGATTTCCGCCCTTTTTTAATGCATTATATTTTTCATGTTTTATGCTTTAAAAATGTAATAAAAAGAAAATATAATGGTGTCTTCAGTAATAGCAAAAATATTTTACTGGTGTGGCTGATATTTTGATATTTTTCACTCGTGCTGTGCACACGTGTTAAATATCAAAATATTAGCCACACTCGTGAAATATATTTGTTATTACTGAAGACACCATCAAATATCTTCTATATATTTGTTATTACTGAAGACACCATCAAATATCTTCTTATTTAAAGTGAGAACCTGTGACAATGTTCAGCTTACGTGAGCTTGTGATTGATGACAATAGGAATCAATGTGATATCAGGATTTTGTACTGATGATAAATGATCATGAACTTCTGCTTGATTCTGTTACTGCATGTGTTATGGTTCAAACTTATATTTTCTTAATTGGTCCTGGATCTGCCAGTTTATGCTGCCTGTATGCTTGCCAAACTTAACTTTAACCAGGATATTGAGAATCTCACACAGGTGTTTTTCTTCACATCCCACATATTCTGTCACACAGGCCTAGCTTCACCATAGATATGTATCAATAAGTTTCTATTGTGTAATATCTGATTCAGATGAGTCTAGAGGTTTATTTATAATGAGGCTTTGCAGCAGTTATGTTATTCAATGTAACAAGGCTCTGCATGCAGAGCTTAAAAAGAAAACTTGGACAAGTTTGATATGTTTTATTTCAATGAAAATGAATTCAAGATCCTATTAGCAAAAATTTATTGTAAAAAACTTATCATTTTCTAGACTTCCAACATTGAAAATCAGTGTCTGTTTTCTTCTGTATGGTATATGTTACAATGATGTGACATCATGCATATGCCTATTGTCTTAATTCTAATGTAATCTCGGGTATTATTGCATGAGTTAATATGCAAAAACGTATGGACTAACTCCTTGCATAATACAGTATTGTTGTAATACATAGGTGGGTGTAAGGTTTAAGTAATATGGAGCAGATTTTAGTGTATGCTATAGTACTTCAGTAAATACATGTTTCTAATACTGACATTATGTGCCTTTTGGTTGTTAGAATAGCGTGAAGCAAGAGGTGAATAGTGTATGTTTAACCACAGTAGTGTGGCACAGATCCGCAACCCAACTGTTCATATATATGTGTATTACGTACACTTGTGTATCCTACACATATACCAGTGTACAGACTGGGGTTGGGGATCTGTGCATGTCATTTTCATCCTGTTTTAAGGTAAGAAAATTTTGTTATGATAATGTTTTCAGACCAATTTCTAAAACCAAATAAATTGTCTTTTATTTGAATTCCTGCAGCAGGAACAGTCGATGACCAAGTAGATATCATAATGTAGACATACACTGAATTGACAGTTTGTTTCCTTGAAAGTTTGATATCAATTTATGATACTGATAGATGTTTCTATAGAAAATATAAAGGTGCGTGTTGGCAAGATAAAATGCCATTATTGGTGGTTATTTATTATTGTGAGTATGGATACCTATTGCTATATATAGCATATCCAATATTGTTCAGGGCAGTTCATTGGGAAAAGACTGTGTGTAGACATTGATTAGCTAGTTTAATTCCAACACATCCTAATTTTAACTTATTGATTAGTTCTTTATCTTTTGTGTCGAATTAAGTTGTTTTGAGTTCTTGCCATGCTGTACCTGCAGTACCGGTAAATGTAAAAATATATTTTGCAGTTATAAAGATATGTTATTTTTTATTCTCCCAAATCTACTGAAATCGTCTATAGCTAGGAGTTGGTAAACATGTTTTAATTTGATAAGCAACTGATCATTAAATGGATAACACCCCAGATGTATGTGCATTTTTCACTGTTTGACTTATAGTGTCAAGTAGCAATGCTTTTCGACGTCATAGTTCATAGCCATTATTTCCTGGATTGGAAACATATTTAATATATTCCAAAGGGAAACATTGTTTTCTAGATGTATATCACTGGTAGAAAAGGGACCCCAAACTCATGATGGTTATCATGCTAATCTAACTCGTGTCAGTTAATTTCAAATTGTAAGACACACCATAAACCTGATGTCTTTATTCAATTTGAAAACTAACAAACACGAATGAGACAAAAATAATATTCAACCACCACTTATTATAGGGAACCTCTACTTCTCACTTAACAGCTGCAGGTTTCATCACAAGATTTAGATGCTTTTAGTAATTAATATCTTGCCACACCATCTTCATTTACCTATACTTCCCTCACCTTTTGGGATAAAATATCCATTTGTGATAAGAAAAACCACAGTGGAATTATCTAGTGTTTAGCCTGCATCAATATTGGTACAGGGATCATTGAGGGACATCACTCTCACACAAATCACATCTTTGGCATGAAGGGTGCTTCATTGTATATAATTAGTAATCTTAAAGAGGTCTACATTTGTTTCTTTATTGCTTTTCCTTTTTTATTTGCCATCTGTGTTCTATCTTTATGTTGGGGCACATTTCATGACACTTTTGGCCACAGAAATTCCTTAACCAATGTTAACTGTTCTTGTAACTGGTATTAGCTATAAATGTATGTACGTTAACATAATGTTAGCTATATTTAGTGTCATGGTTCAACCTGTGCTGGGTATAAGCACTCTACTGGGCTATATATAGCTATATATACATAGGATCCAAATTGAAAGAATTCTGCATGCACACACTATTACACATGTACAGTGTATGTGTGATTGTGTTCAGTTCATCACAATCAAAGCAGAGTGACAGATTGATTAGTCAAGTCTACACCAATAGTCTAAATATTTACTAATTTTCAGCCAACATCTATGCATTTATAGAAGACTACAGATAGAATGCCTGTCTAGCAGATAATGATGCTTAATTATACTTGGAGTCACCAAACAATCTTTTAACATAAAAAAAGTTAAAAAAATACAGAAAAGTAGTCCTAGTTTAGCAAAGAATATAAAATGTACATTATGTATGGGAGAAAGTTATTTTTCATAGATCAGAGAAAGTCATGTTTATATACAATGTTTATAGATATCAGAGGAAGTTTTGTGTCAATTTTTCAAAATTAATATTCGTTAAGTATGAGACACTTAACTCCATTGTTATTGTGTAAATAGTTTTGTAGTTGGGTAAACTATTTTGATAATTACTTCTTATTGTTTGTGTATTGGTGCTGGAAGTAATTTATATAGGGGTTATTGTTACAGTTTATCTTAATGTACAAAGCTTTAATTTTATGTACTAAGCAATTGTGGTTAATATTCAGAACCATGTATTGGATTTAAAACATGTAACTGATATGTTATCTTGGTGTATTGATTTTTCACATAAATGTTTATTCTTTCTAAATATGTTGTACAATGTATAAAAGCTTATCGGAAAATGTGTTGAAAAGAAATGAAAAAAAAACCCCTGTAAATTATTGCACTTCAGTTCTGTCCAATAAATGAAACATAAAAAAATAATATGGCTATGCTATATATTGATTAAATTAGCATTATACAAATGTATATAAATATTAATATATTATTCAAAAAATGTGTTTAAAAGTTGAAAAGGTGAGCAATTTTTTGTGATGTGTCATTTCTTATTTATATGTAAAAAATCCTTATTGCTGATAACACATTTTAAAATTCTGTAAAATATTAAAAAAGTATTTCTTTATGAATCTTATGATATATAGAGAAATTTATTTCATTTGCAATGTTTGTGTAAATAAATGAAAACCTGTTTATGTGATCTATAATTTTGAAGAACACCAGTGATGAAATGACCTATCTTTATCAGTGACCCACATCAGACGTAAACTTGTTAAGTTTTCAAAACTTTACTTTTCTGTTTTAGTGCTGTTACATGGAATATTAAATTTATCACGCTAATGTCATTGATGTTTATTGGTTGTATAATTATGCTTAAATATGTTCCATGGCATTTTGATACAGTATGTATTCGTTTTAAACATGAGTCCTTCTTATATGTAGTGTTATCAATTGTTGAATTTTGCATATTGTTCCGAACACATTTTTAACATTCTTTACTGCTAATGATGTTAAATAAATTCTTTGAAAGAAAAAAGTATTTTTTATTTTTTGACTGAAATGAATGCAACAATGTTAGGTAAGATGTTTATTTCATTCTAATATTATGGTATGATTTTCAACGTTTGATTAAAGTGACTTTCAGGTCTTACATAGTGCTGAAGTAGTTGAGATCAACCAACACAAAGCTTGATTTTAATGTGAACGTTTGCACGATTTACAATAAAAGAAAAATGTGTTATACAAGACCAATAATGGAAGGGAGATAATTAAAACTACAAGAAACTGGGTTATCTTTCTTGATACGCGCTCTTCCATTGGCGCCATGACAACGTGCATAAACTCCCGAACAAACTACTTCCGCAGTTGGTGTAAACAACTGAGATAATGAAGTAATTTTGACACTTGGAAAGCTATAACGTATGAAACGATGACAGATTAGTTTTCGTAAAGGCAATTTCAGACGAGGATCGTTCAGGAAAATAACAACCAGAAAACAGATTTAGTAAAACAAAGTAAATCAGGATGCCCCACTTAAAGGAACCTAAAGAGAAGCAGCCGCTGTGGAAGGACTGGGATTATCTCGCCCAGAAGAAAGGTGTTCGACATACAGTTTATTCCGTCAACGGGGACCAATACACGGGCGAATGGCTAGACAACAAAAAGGATGGTGAGTGACGGGATTATTGTTATAACTTGGAGTAGACATATTTTTTCCCCATCAGGCGTACAGTATATAGATATAACGTTACTAGTGGTCTGACAACTGCAGGTCGTTGCACAATATCTCAACTTTTGTTCCAGTTTTAACGTTCTGTTTGAAGCATTGTTGTACTTGATTATGAAATTGTCAAGACTTTGTCGTAGTTGTTATTAAATTGTACATTTTGTGCTTTTCATAATTTATGATTGATTGAAATTTTGATAATGTATTATGATTAATATGTTGCAATGCAGTATAATCCCCATTTATTATTTATCACTACACTGTGTTATGGCACAGAATATTAATAAGCCCGCTGTTGTTGCTACAGAGGCCAAACATGTATGAGTAAGTTACAGCCTGTACATGTATGTATTTCTGCTATTGTTTTAATACAATTGCATATTTAGGATCAAATGCAACTCAACATATTACTACTGAATTGACTCCAAAGCTATATTTTGTTATATATACCTGTACATGAACTTTTATTTCAGGTAAGGGTACATACAAGTGGAAATCGAATGGGGCCCTGTTTGATGGAGATTGGAAGAAAGGAAAGAGAAATGGGTTTGGAACATACAGCGTACCAGACGGGAAGGGAGGTTACAAGAAAGAATACTCGGGAGGCTGGAAGAATGATATGCGACATGTAAGTAGTGTCCTCATTCCTACTATGAAAACGGGATATGATTAACAATTACAACACCAAAACATTCTGTAAATAATTTGATTTTGATGAATTACCTTAACATTTGTTTTTTTAAATTTTACCTACAGGGTACCGGTAATATTACACAAATTGTTGAATCATCTGATGAAACCAAGAAAGGTTACTTCAATTATATTTTTGAAACATTTTTCTTCTGTTTACATCTACAAAATATGTTGTTGTTGAACGTCGATCGGAAGCTTGAGCTTGTGAAGACGTCTAAATATCCTCTTCTCACTTGATACGTTGCTAGCAGAATAGCCTGCCATCAATGGACTGCAGTTGCGCAGGGATACTATATACAATGTATCAAGCTTTTACACTATATTTTATTGTGAATACTTGTTAAAATAGTCTATAACTTGGAAGTAATGTTATTTTCCTTGGGGCTTATTGCATTTTTATGCGGTTTATTTTTTGCCATAGAGAAAATATTTTATCAATAACTTTCTGCTTGCAGACAGATTTGTAATTTTGAATGAACTGGCAAATGAGGTTAAAAAGAAGTAGGAATTTTAAAAATCAGTGGGATGTTTGTTTTAAGAGAGGAAAATATTTTTTAATGTTATGTTTCTATTAAAGAGCTGAATAGTAACTTATTGTAAATTCTGTAAATATTCAAATCACAATTTGGGTATCTGTGTAACACAGCAAAGATTCATTTCTCCTGAGCAAACAGACCTAAAAACACATCTTAAAGTTGAGGGGAGCATTAAGTAGTTGTATTTTCTGTTGGTCTGTCCCATGCACGTCCAACCTGTTGCATTTAACTCTTTTACTGTAGTACTATAAACCAACACTCATCGAGCTACATCCTGAGGATTACCACACCCATATAGGATCACTGACCTGTATTTTGCTGACTTTAGTTAGACTTTGCTCTTAGCTCCATTTTCATCAAAGCAGGAGTAACTCCTTTCCCTGATGATAAAAGTCATGATTATGTAAGAAGGTTGATATGTCTTTGTGCAGGCTCGGAGGTGAAGTGAGGATAACATGGACAGGTTTGATTTCTCCGCATGAATTTGATATTTAAAAATTTTCACAACATAAATGTACCTAAGTCAGTTTCACCTTTATGATTTAGCAGAAAGTTTCCCATACATGGATCAATGGTAATTCACTGTTTAACACTAGAAACATATTCTCCAAAATATGTTACCTTGCATCTCTTTGTAAGTAACTGGGGAATAATAAATGTAAAAAAATATGCATTTCTATCCTTAGATATGTCTATCTTGATATTTTGTTTATTGCTGAACTATCTTTAATGCCAAAAGGTTAACAGATGAATGGTGTCAGTGTAACAAGTTTTCATTGTACATTACATAGACATCCATTGTTTATCATCCGTGTATCTTGAAGGAAACCCAAAGCAAATTGTAGATTGAGATGAGTATAAAGACATTCAGACTTTTAAAACCAGTGTTAACGTCCCTTTATCATGCCCCATCAAACATCATACTGCATAGGAAAGTTGCCAGAAAATGAAAAAGATAAATCAAATACATGTATAACAAAACCTTTTTTTTTGTTTCAAAACTACACATTTGTATGTACTAGCTGGTATTTATTCAAAAGATTATTTTAGTTCATGAAGAGTATTGCATGATTGTTTTTACCTTTACCGCAGATCACCACTTATACAAACTTAATTCACACCACAGTGTACAAACGAATGTACAATTGATTGTGATTACACATAAGTTATAATTTCCCTTATTTCCACAATTTTTACTCCATATATTAACTACCTTTTTTCAGAATCTATATCTCATTTTGTCATTTTGTCTCCCTTACCAAACCTACTGCACAGTGATCTTAACTGGTTGTATCTTCGGCTACATATGGTATGCATTTCTAACTTTTACAAGTTGCTGTTTCAGTACCTGACCCAGGTATTACTGCTGTGTGGATTTATAACCAATTCAAATGACACACTTTACATATAGGAATACATCATCAAATTAAAATAAAGGTATTAAATACCAAATAAAATAAAGGTATTAAATACCGATTGAAATACAAAGTAAAATAGCCCTCCATAGAAATCAGAGATGCACCAAGAAAGGTTTTAATTAAGATGCCATGGATATATGGTTCTCATTGAATAATAGCGGGTAATAACACATTTACAGACTACTCCACTTCTTAATTATAAACAGTATATTGATATATTGTATATAAAGTGATACTAGTACCTACTTCAATGATATATATATATTGTATGCACAGTTATGCCATTTAGAGATCAAAATGCATACTGTTTATAAAGGAATTACTATTATCAGAAGCCTTCTCTTGATAAGAGCTTCATATGCCCTTTTATGCTGAAAATAGAACCTCTGGAATAGACATTGAGGTAGAACTAATATTATGAGATACATTGAAATCAATATAGCTCAGACTAGAAATCATGTTGATTTACGGAGTAAGAAAACCGTATTGTGATATGTATCATTTCCTTAGAACTGTGTTGTGATATGTATCATATTATGAAGTTGGTGTATTTTGCTCCAACTGGATATAGCACATCAATTGATACAAGCCATTATGGACTCTTTGTAGGCATATGGGACACAATTTTACACAGATTCTGAGTACTATGAAGGAGAGTGGTATGCAGATAAACGAAGCGGCTGGGGTCGTATGTACTTCAAGGATGGCACAATTTACGAAGGAGAGTGGTATGATGACCAGCGCAATGGACAGGGCATGATCCGACTAAGTAAGTTATCATGTTGGGAACTGGTACCTAGATCTGGAGCTAGTGACCAACAAGTGGGATACACCACAGCTGTATTCCTATACAATATACAGTCATAAATAAATCTTTGAACTCCCTGGGCTTTACATATATAATATATATATATACAGCATTTGAAATAGAGCCCTATCTACCTAACATAAGCCACTCTAAAGCGCTTTACAGTACATAGTTATATGATTAATACAATAAGCAAATACATTATTAATCAATACAGTTTTTGAGGAATTCGCAGGAGCTGCCTGATCAGGTGCTAACTACTAGTCCTATGCCACCTGGCTAATATCTCCCTATCTGTGTATGCCTGCGTGTGTGCAGGAGATGCAATGTGTTCTGTTTGTAGTGGGACCGTGCTTCCAATGGCATCATTTACAGTGCCAACTCATTTGAATGCTACAGCACAGATACCGCAACATCCACCCTAGACCAATTTATACTCCACCTGGGTTGTTGGAGTTGTGTGGGCAGGAAAAAAACACTTTCTCTGAATACCCCGGCCGCCTGCCTGGAGGGCCAGAGTGTTAACCACTCAACCAATCCGCACATAAAGGGATCCCAACATGCGAGGAAGATTTTTAAATTGTCAAACACAAGGCAGTTTAATCACTCATTCTGTTCTGTGATCTACAAAATTTAAAATAAAATGCACAAAATTGACAGGAACTTAGTTATGATGACGGATTAATCAAGTACAATATTTCATTAATCAAGTACAATATTTCAGAGTGTTGTAATGTTGCAAAAGTATGTATGTATATCATAGATTAAATGATCCTTATTCTTTTCAGCCAATGAGAATCGTTATGAAGGATCCTGGCGAAATGACAAAAAAAACGGCCCAGGGAAGTTTTTCTACCTAACCACAGGACAAGTGTACGAGGGTGTCTGGAATGATGACATTGCTAAGTGCGGGACTATGCAGGACTTTGGCCGAGAGGGGGCACCTGAACCCACACAGTATAAAATACCTAAGGTGAGTGTTCATCTGGGATAGGCACACAAACCTACACAGTATAAAATACCCAAGGTGAGTGTTCATCTGGGATAGGCACACAAACCTACACAGTATAAAATACCCAAGGTGAGTGTTCATCTGGGATAGGCAAACAAACCTACACAGTATAAAATACCCAAGGTGAGCGTTCATCTGGGATAGGCACACAAACCTACACAGTATAAAATACCCAAGGTGAGTGTTCATCTGGGATAGGCAAACAAACCTACACAGTATAAAATACCCAAGGTGACTGTTCATCTCGGAAAGGCAAACAGACCTACACTGTATAAAATACCCAAGGTGAGTGTTCATCTGGGATAGGCACACGAACCTACACTGTATAAAATACCCAAGGTAAGTGTTCATCTGGAATAGGCAAACAAACCTACACAGTATAAAATACCCAAGGTGAGTGTTCATCTGGGATAGGCAAACAAACCCACACAGTATAAAATACCTAAGGTGAGTGTTCATCTGGGATAGGCACACAAACCTACACAGTATAAAATACCCACGGTGAGTATTCATCTGGGATAGGCAAACAAACCTACACAGTATAAAATACCCAAGGTGAGTGTTCATCTGGGATAGGCACACAAACCTACATAGTATAAAATACCCAAGGTGGGTGTTCATCTGGGATAGGCACACGAACCTAGGAAGTATAAAATACCCAAGGTAAGTGTTCATCTGGGATAGGCAAACAAACCCAGGAAGTATAAAATACCTAAGGGGAGTGTTTACCTGGGAGTGGGCTCCCTATAAAGAGTTACTCTTATATTCCATGTGCAGTGTTACTGACAGCTAGTCTTATTTTAGCTCTTTTGAATTTTTGAATTTTGTGCTGAATTATGATAACAAGTGATTTTTAAAGTGATCAGGTTATACTAATATTTTCCAAACACATTTTATTTACTGTTTTACAGGTTGAACTAGCCAATTCTGATGCTGTTTTACAAGATGCTGAGGAAACATTTCTTCAAGATCACGAGTGAAATGTTTATTAGATTGCGAATCTGTGCTGAAAAGAAAGGATGTGATTGCACGAGTCCTACCTACTGGTATACATGTCTGTACAATGTAACAAAACATCCTCTCTAGATATACTGCTGGGAGTCAACTGCTTCAATGCTAGCTTTACGAATATTTTGTTAAATATTTAAAATTGATGTTGACATGGTTACATGTACTGCTTTAAGTATCAGTGATAGAGGTGTGCCTTGGTGTTATCAGCATTAGCCTGCCCTCCTTTTTTAAACAGCTTCCTGATTAGTACTGGATAGATTTGGGTGGGATTGTGATCGTAAATTAGTACTGGATAGATTTGGGTGGGATTGTGATCGTGAATTAGTACTGGATAGATTTGGGTGGGATTGTGATCGTGAATTAGTACTGGATAGATTTGGGTGGGATTGTGATCGTAAATAAGTACTTAATAGGCATTACCCTGTTGTTATTTCTGCGAAACCTGTGAAACCTTACTCAAATTTACAGACTAGTTTAATTTTTTTTTATATGTAGTCTCCCTCACAGTTTAGGAACTTGTTACATTATCCCATTGTACATTGAAGTGGTTAATAAAAGACAGGTGTGAATGTAGTTCTGCGATATTAAATACTGGGATAAATGTTGTGTAGAATGCGAAGATGTATATATGAAGTAAAAGAAAATAAATTATGTTTATGTACAGAAGTGTCTTTTTTAATTTGTTTAAGTATTCCTGTCTACAAGCTAATTAAGAGCAAGTCCTTAAGTGCCTATATTTCCTACCTGGATATTTTGCACGGATGGAAAAATAACTACTCTCATTTAGATTGATGTTGCCAATCTTTCCCATTTTAGAATGAAGCAAACACTCTTCTATGTGAAATTTGAAAGCTAGTCCCAATGATGCTTCATCACAAATTTGGTTGAAATGAAATCAACTGTTCAGGAGGAAAAGGCATTTAATCAACCCTCATTTGGGCCTTGACCCTCAGCTGAACAGGAGCTATACACTTCCTCCAAACAATAATTCCAAGGATGTGTTTAAAATAGCAAACTAGGTCTCGACCTACATTGTAGGTATAGCTATGCCCTAGGTCATGACCCGGGACTAAGTTCCCAGGGGAGGGGCTAAACCTAGTAGCTTGTGTTCATCAATTCATGCCCAGTAATATTCAATCATTTCCAAGTAATGATCCAAGGGCAGAGCCCATATCAGGCGGGCAAACTAAAAATCACTGTTCGTGTAGCTGTAGACCAAATGTATTCAAATACACTCGGTTGTTCTGGACTAGCAGGATTTTAAAGGAAAATTGACAAACAGGTGCTAACCAACGGCATGAGCTCATTCATATCATTCTGGCCTCATGAGCTTATAAACGAGGCCGAGAATGATGGTCACAACCATTTCCGTATTGAGACCTAGGACCTAGTCCGAATAGGAGGGGCCATATAAACTACCAGTAAGGATACTTCAAACCCCTTTGGTTAAATTCCAGTAAGAAATTGCTTAAACAAACAACTGATAGTCAAAGGATGGCACAATGTGGCATAATTATATAAGTTGACCTTAGTCCTTTGGACCAGATGAGGTAAAAACAATAATCAGCATCAACAATTAAACAATATATTTATTCTGAGCTTGAAATATATAACATTCATACAATGTACATTTTGTAAAGCAAAATAGGGACATAAAAATTATCATTTAGTACTGTTTAACATTACATGGCAATGCAACTATACAACCCTATAATAATCAGATGTTAATATTACCGGTAAATGTCATAGTCGGAGAGATGTCATGATTAGCAGGATGTCATAATGGTAACCTAGGATACCAATAACCCTCGTTTAATAAGAATTAATGCTGAAGTTTAATATGTCATATCTATAATTTATAGAATCTACTGTATCTAGGTCAATTTACTCAAATTACAAATCACATTAAAATAGCGTCACATTTCAGAATGTCGGCAGATAGGGCTCATAACTTATTGAACTCAAAACATTTGTCTACGTAGTTCCTCAACCTGGGGTCAACTGACTCAACTGTGCACCAATCACGACAATGTCAGATAGAATTACAAATATTAGTAAACGTACATATTCCAGCGCTAGTCTGTCTTATTTTTGCTTTTTTGAAGTTTTGAATTTTGTGCTGAATTAGGATTACAAGTGATAATTAAACTTTTTAAATATTGTTTTCAATTGCAATTTGCATGTATTTAGGTGTGCCAATTCCTCTTGCACTAATACATGTATACATGCTAAAATAAGTACGTTTATTGTATTGAACTACTTTCTACTGATATTCCTGGTCAATATTCCTGGTAAGTGCCAACATGAAATTTTCAAATTCAACATGAAATTTTATTGTGTACTTCATAGAATTTGTCCTTTCAAATGCCAGCTGAAAGCCTAAGTTGAACATCATCTACATAATATAAAAAGGTATCACATTTTTTTTATCAAATCATTCTACTTATATGTTAACAGTATCATGGACAAAGTTGTACTCTACATCACTTACACTTTTGATTTAATAAATGAATTGAATTCAAATGAAAATTGTAAAAAATATTATCTATAGTGTACAGTTACAATACAGATCTATTTCCCTACAGATCACTTAACTAACCATACAGGTATTTCCCTACATATCACTTAACTGTAAATTAGTATACTCAAGATATGTAACAAAATTTCAAATTGTTATCATTACTTATAAGAATATTCCAAATTATAAAGGTAAAAAGAAAACAGATAAAAACCTGCTGAACCAAAACTAATCTGTAAAGTTGATGTTGGTCCTAATCTTTGACACATGAAAGCCTTCTCCGGTGACTTGTCAGTCTTTTGAAATAATCTCATTCACAAACCATTGGCACTAATTTCAACAGTAACTTGTGTTACTTCGATTTCACATCCTTCAGTAACAAATATACATTGTTATGCAAGTTTGGACTTCCTTTTAACATTTTTAATCTACACATATAAAATGCATGCCTTATCATTTTATTTAAAAATAAATAATAGCATGCAAATTCAAAAGTATTGGTTATCTTTTCTTTTTGGCAAGATAACATTTTTACAGATTTTATAACATTTAAAAACATGGATTTTTATATTATCTCCCTTTCACTTGTACAAAAATATTGTGTGCTTTATAAATTGTGTGCTTTAATGAACATGTGAGATGACAATATAATTATACAACTTTTTCCACAACCACTGTCATGCTCCACTACATGTATATATATATATGTGGGGGTCAATTCCAGATATTTCTGACATACCATAGTATATTTTGAAAGAGGATTATCCCCCCTGAAAGAATTACTATGGTGGCATTTCTAATATTCCATAAACATACTTGTATAAAATGATTCTTGCCTGTTATCTTACAGACATAATGTGCAAGTCAAAGAAGTAAATGATGTCTGTTGGCGCCCATCAAAAAATGTTAGGAATCTCATTGTTTTCATTGTGATATAACTATCACCAGTCTCCAAGTGAAAAGCTATGTAAGATATAAATTACTTACTTTCTTACCTGATATACACAAATTGTACTTCTATCTTATGTATGTAAGAGAAATAATTTTTGTAAGGTGAGCATGAAATTAAATGTTTGAGTACATTTATTCAAACAAATGAATAAGCAATACCCGGTACATATTTTTTGTATCTAAGCAGGGCTCTTTCTATGTAAATTTGGAAAATTTTCTATTGGTTACTTGGGGAACTATATCAACAAGCAAAAACTCAAATGTTAAAAAAATAATGTACATTATATATACGGTCACTTCAATCCAATATTTCCATTTGAAGAGATATTTCTCTTCAAGAAAAAGAAGTTAATTCATTTACATAAAACTTTCAAATATTTTAGAAAAAAACATGTACCCTGTTATTGGGAAAAAATCTAGAAATTCAGAAAATGTCTAACTAAAGTTACAACTGGACTAGGGCAGTCTATCAGCTCCTGGAATACCATAGAAAAAGCACTGCTATGTACTGTAGTCAATTTTGATAAATAACAATAGCAGTAGGTTAGAAGCTCTCCATGAAAATGTAATACATTTGTGAAATTAAATGACTAGACTTGAGATTCACTTAAAAGCTATCACAAAAATACAGGGCAATTTTACAAAAAACATTAATACTTTTTTTATCTTATAAAATCAAAATGAAAATAACAAAACTTTAAAGCATAAACAAATTAGCTTTAACTCAAATAACAAACTTAAAGATGTTTTTTTGAAGGTTGTGAGGGATGTTAGATTATAATAGTAGGATCAATGTACAACTCAGGGGAAGTACTTGGATTTCATAAAAAAACAAAATTGTTAAATAAGGATAAAGGGAATTCAAAGTCTCTTCAAATATACAAAATATAGCCTTCATGAATTTCAATCGGGTCTTCAGTGATTTCAACTAATTCTACATCTTGGACATCTATCTTCATTTGGGACTCAACATGTTAAAAATTCCTCCACTACCAATACAATTGGGACTCCTGTAAATTTCAAAATGTTGACGTGGGACTGATACAAATATGCAGATAAGCCAGAGACATATAAAGCCAGTATATACGTCTCTGGATAAGCTGTCATTTCAAATATTAATACAAAGCAAACACTAACAAGATTGTGACTTGTAAAAATCTACAACCTATCAACAAAATATTATGCAAATTTGAAAAAAATATTATAATGACAAGCATGCGACTAAAAATTAAAAATTGTAAAAATATATACAAAATTGGCAAGAACATTTTCATGCATACAAATTTTTATAGAAATTCACAGTCATCCATGTATGTATAAAGCAATGATAATTGCGTAGTACAACACAATGTCAATTAAATTTAGTCAAAGAAAATAGTCTTTATAGTATTGTGAGATAATTGAAACAGCCTACATAATACATCTGATACAGCCTACATGTAGTTAAAATAAATACAAATGAACTGCAATGATGATATATGGGACCAAAAACCTATTTGAGATCAATAGGTTTTTCATAATATTTCCGATGATTATAGTGTTTCATCACTAGATATTGACAGTACTATATACCTTAGCAACACCAATAGTCTACTGATTCTCTCCTACAATGCTTCCACCATTCCTTCACTTGTCCTGAGAGTAGGTTCACAGTATATTGAAAGAAAAAGGCGTAAAAGTTACCAGGTATATAGACAGCACTCAGACAATAAATATAAACACAGTAATGTTAGGTGTAAGGGATAAACAATAACTACAGAGAGACATCTACCTGTACATATACAGGTGTATTTACAAAAAACCCCAATAACAATAAGGTACATGTATGTAAAATATTAAAATTGAAACTTTGAGACATTTAAGATGTTCCCACGTCAAAAGATGTGAATCTTATCTAAACACGTCTTTTTTCATGAGTCTTAATCAAACTCAAATTAACTCTAAGATAAAGTTTTATGCAAGTATTTAAAGACAACATTATTGTCGTAAGATGTCACGCACACATTTGAATTCAGATGTGGTCTTTAGTTTTAGGTACATGATCAGTCTCAGCTTGATTTTTATAACATACTAGGAACTATCGGCAATCAAATGTTACAAGGCGAACCATTTTTATGATGTAAGTGTAGGAATATATAATGATTAGTATACCCTCACACATCATTGCATTCATATCTCCTTCAACCCTTGGAC